GTAAAGATAAAGTCCTCATTTGAGGACATTGGGACTATAATTTTGTTATTTATTGTGCCATGAGGTAGGACAAACCTGCAAATATTTAGAACAGTTTACAAATGTGAATAGTTAGTGTAAGTGGTATATTTGGTCACAGTTTTTTGTTAAACAAATCTGGAACAGTTCACAAGCACAAAATATTTCTCGCAATTGGTACATTTGTTCAACCAATTAGTTATACCAATGATGTTCAGGTCAAATAGTCTGTAATTTCCTGCCATTATGTCACATATGTTCTTCAAACTGAAGAGCAATCTGAAAGTTGTCGATGATGATGATGATGCACTTCACTGATCTTGCTCTGGTCAACAGCTGGCTGCTGTATTGCCAAAATAATTAGGAAAATGGAACCATCAGAAAGGCTATCGTGTAGTTTCGCATGGTAATTGCTTAGGTATTCCTCAAAAAGCGTGACATTTTGAGACCCAGTGTCCCCATATGAGGACATCATTTTTTTTGCAAAAACCACTTCCTGTACCATGACAGGGTCTAGTTATCATACGTATAAATCTTCCCTGGTACACTTTCAACACTTTCAATCTTGTAACAAGTTATTTAACCCTTATTGTACCCACAAATGCTGGCAAATCATCCTTGTTGAAAGGTTTTAAAACTTTTAAAATTATTAAGGCTTTTTCCTTTAAGTGTTTTTAGAGTTGATTTAATATCTACAAACCATTTTCTCCTCTTGTGTTCAGATGAAGGAGCTTCACTCTCTGGGCTTCCAGGATGTCTCTCAGTGTGAGGAGGCTCTGCGCCAGAGTGGAGGGGAGGTGAAAGGAGCTCTGTCTCTGCTGCAGCGCCCCCTCTTGGAGCCGTTCCACCAGCACATCTGGATAGATCAACCCGAGCCGCCGATTGATCCCAAACACCCGGACAAACAGGTCAGACYGGTTTGCCACGAGACTTTAGTGTTCTGACGTGAGCTTCTGTTTCTGCAGGTCCTCCTTAATCGCTCTCTGTCTGCTGCGTTCAGAGAACCTGCAGGCGGCTGCTGGCGCTGTACAGCTTGCCCAGCTGGGGGCGCTGTGAGCTCGTCCTCTCGCTGCTCCAGGAGCCCGATATCACCTACTCCCTGGAGGACGTGGTGCAGGCTGTGAAGGAGTCCCACGACAAGGATTTTATCAGGCGTCTCCTCAACAACGAGTGTCCCTGCTGTCTGAGCATCTTCCCTCGCAGCAAGGTGAGGCTGCAACTCAGAACACCAAGCTCTGTGGTTTTATACAGAAAAACTTTTATAACTTTACAGCTGCCTTTTTGTGATCATTTTTATAAAAGAAAGAAAATAAAATTTTAGCTCAGTGACATGAGGATGCAATAAACTGAGAGTTAAGTGTTTGTGAATCGTGCACACAAATGTCTGAACAAAAGGAGAGAATCGGTAAAAAGCAACAGACAAACAAATGTTGGTTTTTGTTTATTTAGATAAACAAGGTTCAAAATAAATGTTGATTAGGGGATAAACTCAAAACTAACTGGAAGAAAGAGATTATAAATATTATATTATTATTATAACAATTTCAACAAAAAATTAATGGAAGACAAGCAGCTGAAGGTTTCTSCAAACACTTAAATAAGACACAAGAAATATGCATTTGCAAAAAGCTGACATGTTTTACAACTTTTCTTTTCTGCAAATAAATTACAACTTTTTTCTTATTACAAAATAAGACTTTTTTAGGTGAATTTGGTATCTTAAAATTATACCATATAATTTTTACCATTATTGAACCAGGCAAATCCCATTGAGATCACAGATCTCTTTTGCAAGGGCGCCAGGGCCTGAAGGCGACCTAGTGTACATGTTTTTGTGCTTCAAAAGAACTTTATAAAGAATTTTATGAAGCTTTTCAGCTTCATAAAATTATGATTTGAATGGAATATTGGATGGTTTTTAGACTGATGTGGTGGTTTTGACGTGGTTTGCTGTTGACACTAACCCAGCATATTTCTAGTAGAAAATGTGTGGTATTTAAAGCAGAATGACTCAGCGTTTTCTGCAGACCTATTGAAGCGGCTTGTTGTTGTTCTTCCTGCGATCCAGATGCAGTCTCTGACGTCCTGTCAGTGCTCGGTCTGCCACGACTGCTTCAAGCTGCACTTCACCATCGCCATCAGAGACAAACATATCCGAGACATGGTGTGTCCCGTCTGCAGCGAGCCGGACATCAACGACCCSGAGCAGCTGGACAGCTACTTCTCCACACTGGACATCCAGGTGAACTGGGACACGTAGTGAAACATGATGAGTCATAAAACAGACTCTTAGATGGAAGTTAATGTAAGTTTTCAACAATGGCAGCTTTTGCATCCATTACATCACAAAAAACTGAATTAGATGATGCAATAAATATCACAAAGCATATATACTAGCTACAGCATTATTTAAAAGTTGTATTTTTAAACAGTGTCCACAAGAAAAGGAGCTATACAGAAGTGAAATGGTCTTTTTGCACCAAAAAGGTTGTTTCTTAAAGAGCCATCATTATGTGCTGTGTGACTTTAATCAATCAAAGCMGTAAACAAAAAAGAATGAGAACACWTGAAGAGGTGTTGGACTTAAACAAAAAAAAAAACTCCTATGCAGATGTGCAGCATGTGAAAGTCCCCTCTTTAGGAAACTGGAAATGATCAGTATCAATAAATCAGCTGATTAGAAATTTTCAGCAATAATTATTTTAGAATCATTTTGTTGAAGCTAAGATGCTATTTTATGTGTCAGGCTAAGACATCTTTGGTATTTTTCATAAATGTATCTAATTAAAGGGGAACAAAAAGTGTTTTTATGAGAGGCTGCTGGATATCAAGTGTTTAAGAATCAAGCTTTTAAAACGCGTTCTTTCCCAAGTTTTGTTTTGACRCAACTCTGCCTCATCTCTGAAGCTTAGAGCCTTTTTACATCTGAAGGATTCATTGGTCCAAGTTAAGTGGCTTAAAAAAAACGTTCCTTTTAAAAGTGATCAGGGACTGGACTGAAAATGAGTCATGAGTCAAAGTTCAAAGACAAACAGTGAAGAAATATTAGTAAAAAATGTATTTTTTTTATTAAAAGCTGAGTTTACCTGTCTATGGAATTAGAATAAAAACGGAAAAGAAAATGTTGCAGGTTGAGAAGTAGTAGTTAGAGGAACTTGCTTCATGTGATGCTGTTTGTTTTGGTCCAGCTGCGGGACTGCCTGGAGACTGAAGTGTACCACTTGTTTCACAAGAAGCTGATGGAACACACGCTGATGAAAGACCCAAAGTTCCTTTGGTGTTATCATGTGAGTTTTTAMGTTGTTTTTCCTGCATATCTTTCTATCAGCCTTCATCATTTCATTTCTTCATCYAACTCAAATTACAGTGGTCTTCCTTCAGTTAGTGATTTGAAGCTGAGTTCTAATGTAGTTCGTTTTAAATTTGAAAAACAGAAATTGTATCTGTAGATTGTGACGCTGTGTAAAATCTTCCTGTTTTGGCTTTTGTAAAGTTTCGACATGTCATTTAAATTAGAAAGAAATAACGGTCAGGTTCACTGAGTGATTGTTAGAAATCAGGACTGCATAACTTCCTTGTTTTATTCTATTTATTGCTTGTTTGGTGTCCTTGAGTGTTAGAAAGGCGCCACCAAATAAAATGTATTATTATTATTAATTAGATGACAGGATATTTCTGTCATGTAGAGGAAGCTGAGCTGTGAGGTGAAGCTCTCTGTTTACCTGAGGGTCTTTGGTTCTCCCTCGCCTATGATCACAAACACTGGGCCGTAAAGAAACAAGATGGCAGCTGTAGGCAGTCAAAATTAGTTTTCTCCGCAGGGTGTAAGAGCTCTGCTTTAGAGATGAGATGGGAAGTTCAGTTCTCAAGGGGAAACTCAGAAGAGCCGCTGCTCCTCCACATCGAGAGGAGAGAGTCGAGGTGGTCGATGGATGGATGGAAAATTCTAAAACGTGTTACAGAAATTTATAGTTATTTAGAGATTAGTACTGGTGCTAGAAAACTACACCAGAGAATAGGGTTTCCTTATTTTATAATACTTGTATAATGTTTGATATATTATGTGTTAATTGAAATAGAGTAGCTACATGTCCGGATTATGAACAACACATAATTACGTAAAAGCTGTGTTAACATTAGGGTGAGGTCTTTGTCTGAAAGCCGGTGATTCAGCTGTAGGTCAGCAGGGGGCGAACTCAGGCATTGAAGAATCTGTATATATACTGATCCATTCCCTGGTTATA